GCTTCCAGACCAAAGTACCCAGGTATAAACCCAACATTCAGCAATGGTCAAACCACTGGCAGATCGGTATTATGATTATTATTATGATTATGATGATGATGATGATGATGAGAGAAAATAGTCAATAATAACAGATCAAATACATTTTTTTTTTTAAATCATATGCTTTGAACGTGTTTTGTCAACACGATGAAGTTAATGATGACTTTATGTATATTTATTTTAAGGACTTTATAATTGGATGCAGACAGTACACAGCTGACATATTTTGATTTATCTGGTCAAGAATGCATGCAAAAAATAGTGTGGTTACTATATGCAGCCATTTATTGTTACTATTTTTTTCATTCTCAGACAGTAGAATCTACCAATTAAGAGTTCTTGATTTAAGTATCATATTTTAAAATGCCAGTACCTTTTTGCCATTCTTTTTCCAGTATTTATGCCATTGGAGATGTGATTGCTGGGCCCATGTTGGCGCACAAAGCTGAGGACGAGGGCATCATCTGTGTGGAGGGCATGGCTGGAGGCGCAGTGCACATTGACTACAACTGCGTCCCGTCTGTGATCTACACTCACCCTGAAGTGGCCTGGGTTGGCAAGACTGAAGAGCAGCTCAAAGAGGAGGTGAGACCCTGAAAACAAGGACACACTGGTTACAAGGATGTCTGTCTCAAATTATACAGATGGTCCCATTTTATTTTTTATATTAATGTATAGCAACTGAAATTGGACTCCCTAAATCATCCTGAACTTATTTACAAGTCTTAAAAATATTGTTTTTTTCCACTTAAATATACTGAGAATTTAAGATAAATTTTACCACTATAAAATAATTATTTGATTATTTTAATTCCATTTTTATATACTTTACTACATACTTAAAAAAAAAACAAAAAAAAAACAAAAAATATATATATATATATATATATATATATTAGTGCTGTCATGCGATTAAAAAAATTGAGAGATTAATTAATTATGATCTGTAATTAATTAATCTAATTAATCTCATTTTAATCTCACCTAAAAATTGCTGAGAAAAGCCTTCAATTTGAGGTATTTTCATTTAAATTCATTATTACATTATTGTGGCAGATCAAAAGACTAATATGGATTTAAAAAAGTGACTTTATAAAGTAATTTATTGTTTAACAAATCTCTTCAAATTGGCTGTTGAGCCCAAGTCTCCATGAATAAGAAACTGTTTGCTGTAAAGCAGCAAAGACGAGGAAATCTGAACATAATAACTTTTGTCTACTTAAAGACAATAAAAAGTCCAGTCTTTCCTTAACCATATGAAAAATATTATTGATAGAGAAATGCTTTATATATGAGATCATTGGTTTTAGTCCTGGTTTAGACCTGGTTTAGACCTACTTTAGTCCTAGTTTAGTCCTGGAATGGATTAATCCTGGTTTTAGTCCTGGTGTTAGTTCTGGTTTAGTCCTGGTTTAGTCCTGGTTTAGTCCTGGTTTAGTCCTGGTTTAGTCCTGGTTTAGACCTGGTTTAGACCTGGTTTAGACCTGGTTTTAGTTCTGGTTTTAGTTCTGGTTTAGTCCTGGTTTTAGTTCTAGTTTTAGTTCTGGTTTTAGTTCTGGTTTAGTCCTGGTTTAGTCCTGGTTTTAGTCTTGGTGTTAGTTCTGGTTTAGAGGCGCACAGGAGGAAGCGCGGTTTACGTCGCGTACGCGAGAAAACACGATCCACACGCGGCTCACGGGAGCACGTCGGTGTCCGCGCAGTGTCTACGGAAGGAAACGTGGTCCGCGCGTTCTCAGGTTAATGACGATGATGAAGGTGTGTGTTTGTTTGTGTGTGTTTGTGTGTGTGTTTGTGTGTGTGTTTGTGTGTGTGTTTGTGTGTGTGTCTCCTCATGTGGCAGGTCACTACAGGACAGTAGTGCAGACATCATGAGCCTATGCAGGTTGTTTTCAGGCGATATTATATTTGTTATTTTCTTTTATATTTCACGTCGGGAGAATAATTTCCAAGACACGAATGCGTTTTTACCTGTGCGCTGCCGACTCTGTTCTACTGGCTCTTCGACCTCGTCCATTGTGCGACTGACGCCGCCAACGTTAACATGACGTTTACATCGCTCTTACTGCGCGCGTTTTGTGTGGGTTTCCGGCAATGAGTGGAATTACCGAAATAAAAAAATTTATAAATGTGTTTTGTGTGTGTTGGGACAACAACACATAAAAACAGGTTTTATAATAAAGAAACTCACATACAGAAACACTAAAGTTAGAGATTAAAAATGAGACCAATGCGATTAAAAAACATAACGCGCTAAATATGACTGTAATTAATTAATTGCAATTAACGCGATAATTTGACACCCCTATATATATATATATATATATATATATATATATATATATATATATATAAATAAAAAACACACATGCACACATATACACAATGTGATATTGTTTTCTAATAATTTGTATATATTTTCTTCTACAAGTTAATTGTGGGACAAGGATTGAGCTTTCCTTACTGTGTTCTTACTTTAGGGTGTCCCATACAAAGTTGGCAAGTTCCCCTTCGCTGCCAACAGCCGCGCCAAAACCATCGCAGACACAGACGGTCTGGTGAAAATCCTCAGTCACAAGGAGACAGACAGGATGCTGGGAGCTCACATCCTGGGATCTGTAAGAATAACATTAAACTAGTCAATAACACATTAAGTTAACGGGGTGTAAAAAGAGTGTTGTTTTCTGTTTGTCCTGTAGGGGGCAGGAGAGATGATTAATGAAGCTGCTTTGGCCATGGAGTATGGCGCTTCCTGTGAGGACGTTGCTAGAGTTTGCCATGCACATCCTGTAAGTATACTACCTATATTTATATGGTAATATATGCCATTAAATGTGGAAAATAAATTAATCTTGGTGTACAGCTACAAATAATTTTGAGGTACTAACAACAGCCCATTATGCAATGATATTCAAACTGAAAAATATATGGAAGGACTTGTATCTGAAGGGGAAAAATGTATAACCTTTTTTATGTTTTCAAAATGTTGTATTTGAAATAGAATCATATTTTACCTCAAGTATTTTGTATTTTGGTTTATTAATTCGTTTGGATTTAGTGGATTAATGAAACAAAGTTGTCTTCTCTGAACACTGAAATGCTCAGTTGGTCCTAGAAAAACTCGTGATATTTTATGGACTAAAATGACTGTGTAAAAGTACAAACACATTCTGGTGTCAAAATGTAATGTAATGGCTCTATCAGCATAGCATTCACAGATGAAAAGGGACTTTCAGCTGTTTACTTTCTAAATGTTATTCCTATTGCTGACAGCAGAGGGAGCTCAGTGCATAAATCCTTTATCAGAAATGGGTATATTGTTGTATATTGTTTATAAGGGAATTTAAGTTACAAGAATGCATAATGCGTTTGAACTTCCATAACTTGTACTTCATAAATTATGAAAGTTATGTTAGGGAGTTAGGTTGACTCTGACTCTATTCAGACCCTCTCCTCTCTCTCTTCACAGACTGTGTCCGAGGCCTTCAGGGAAGCAAACCTGGCAGCCTCTTTTGGCAAAGCCATCAACTTCTAAACCTACAGCCGCTGTCGCACCTCCAGTGTACATACAACCAGTATCTGAACTGTCTCCAAATGCTCTGTATCACTTTTAGTTCTACTGTTATTTAACTGTTCTAAAAAAATAATAATAAATGGGGTTTGGGCTTCACTACAAAACCTTTCTTTTCCAAAACTTCAAGAGCATATATTCTATAAATTAATTTACAAATCGAGAGATATAAATATTATTTTTGCTTTTGTCTCTGGTTTTCATTTTTATAATAAATTCCACAACCCTTCTCGACAGTTAGAGGAGCAGAACAATTACTTTAGGAATATTTTTACCACAATATTTTCATGCAGCTTCAACACAGCTCAAACCTGTCTGGAGACCCCCATTTTGTCATAGCACTTGTAAAGAACAAGGATGGAGAGATGGATCTATATCATTTTAAAATGTATCAAATTTAAGGGACATTGCTGTTATTTAAGATTGAATAAAATATTGACAGGCCTAATGTGAATTTGTGTAGTATGTGTGTAGTCAAATCTAAACTTGAAGTAATATAATACATGACACTGTTGGCCTCCAACTATAACCTGGTTTTGCTTTCATTACTCAGCTGTAAAGACTTTGTCTGTTAGCTTTTACAAACAATAAACACTTCATTTGAATAACCTTGGTGCCGGAATCAACAGTATATAGTACAATTGGTAAATTAAACCATACATACTGTGTATACTAACTTAATGACATAGGTTGCATTCATGTGACATCAAAACATGAGCAAATGGAACTGGTGAAAGCCATGGTTAAAAATTTTCACACTGTCAATAGTATACCAAGTCATAAGGTGGGATCATGCTGAATCTTTTTTTCAAGAACAATACATCACCCATAGAGAAATACAGGCCCCCTCCCTCCATCTAACGTTCAGACTGAAAATCATGATTATGGGAGATTCTCTGTTAAAAAGTGTTGATTTTGGCTGGCACCGTTTCCTTCCATCTCATTGGAAAATAATGCCTAGTATGAATGTGGTGTTGGTGGCACAGATTGGCAGCTTCTTTTCTGTCAGTCTGCCCCAGATCAGCTGTGGCTACAATAGGAGCTTAGCACCACTGAGTGTGAAGTAAATAAATGAAGTACTGTAAACTGTACACTGAACAAAAAAAGTTAAGCATTTCTGTATGGAATCTAAGGTCTGAGTAGAGCAGTCTGGATACAATTACAGATTTTTTTATTATTTTTTTATTTGTATTATATCGCAAACCCCAGCTCAGTGCCTCGTGACCTCCACTGTTGGAACCGCCAACCTAAATGACCATACATTTGGAATACTACAGCCCTCTAGTGTTGACACAAAAAGTCTGTCAAACGGTAAATTTTATCCATAGCTCCACCTCTGTTTAAACACTGCCTTGGTGCAGTGTGTGTAATCTTCAGGTGTGGTACAGAGCCGTCTTGACCATGCATTGCTATGGTATGGACTAAAGTTTGACAGTCAGCATACATGGGGCATACAGCCAAGAGAACAAATGGATCAGAAAGGAAACTATGATACGGATCCCTTTCTCTGAACAGCCATTGAAACTGGTAGGTTTTGGAGTTTTTGATATATATGGACTGTTGTACAAGTTCTACTCTTGACATGTTAAATAATGCCAATAACATTGTGTCATTAAACAACAGACTTACTCATTACACCAATACATTGTGATGCATTTTGGTGCTTCAGCAAGTGACAACAAAAATGTAATAAACTCAAAATAGCCTGTAGATATACAACGGTACCAAAATGGTGATCGACAAAATTAGAAATAGTACAGTATATATACACTTTTTTTTTTTTTTTAAATCTCAAAGTGCAATATAAGGATAATATGTAAACAACATTTACTTTTTACAACTACACTAACATTGCTTATAAAGTTATTTACACATCGACAAATAGCCTGGAGATGTTGGCATTCCTGTAGGTACACACACTTGCTTTTAGCTTTTCACTTTCACAATGGTGTTATGTCCAATAGTGAAGGTCTAACATGCATACATGACAGTTGTGATAAGTCATTAATCTATATTCAAAACAACTAATCAATCAATGTTACCAAATTGAAACTAGATTTTCAACAGGTATCAAAAGGGTAAAAATTTTTTTTATTAAATTAAAAGTCTGACAGCAAACTAAATTGAATGATAAAATTACTAGAGCATTATTTTGTGTTGAAAAGTACATTTTATATCATTGTACTGAAAAAATCTGTTTAAAAATATATATCAACTTTTTCCTTAGTATCATATTATTTGAATCACGACAACACTTAAATCTCACTTCAAGGAAACTTAATATAAAATATCAGAAATTATCCCATCCCATTAAGCCCAACTTGTGAGCCTCAAAACCAAGCTGACTTTGTGTTCACTTAGAGCCTTAGTTGTGAGGGTTTGGGTGGAGAGGGGAGACATTTCCTTTCTCTGATCAAAACATGCATTGTGTTAAAAAAGTGTTGATTTTGTTTGCCACCATTTCCTTCCTTCTACCTAAAACTGGCCATTATCATCATGGAACAAGTCAAATGCAATTTTGCTTAAAGATACGAACTTAATGCACTTAACGTAAGAATTCAGAGATGATAAGTACAACTGACTGAACATTTTGCTACAACTTGACATGAAAAAAGTGTTGATTTTTCCATATTTCTTTGTAGGATTTGTCAGAGTAGTTATCACAGTATGAATCATTCTAGTTACTGTTTGTTCATGGTGGAGACCTGCTACAAGCGTTCCTCTGTTATGGTGTAAGGATTTTATACATCACTGCAGCCAGTAAACCTTCATCAAACAGTAACAGAATACTGAAAACTTTATAGTGCATTTTATCAATTTCTATTTAACAGCAATACATATACTTATATTGCCTATGGGGAGTAACTAACTATGTCTCCTTTACTGCGATTGGCTAATCTTCCTGTCACTCACACAAGAGACAAAATATCTTGATTTTTTATTTTACTATATTGTGACATCGTCCAACCCTACCTTCAAGCACTACCTATTACTACTACTAATAATGCATTGATTTTACTAATAATAATTTATAGGCTTTCAAGACACGAACTGACCACCAACACTCACACACGCCCCACATTCATATTAGGTAAGATGGGTGAAATGTCTTGCCTAAGGACACAATAACACTAAGCACTAGACATCCAAGTACTAACCAAGCCCAACAGCTTCCGAGGGCACTATCACGATGGTATGTCCACAAACATGAAGTGTCTTGCCTAAATAAACAATGTTAGTAATGGGAAATGGGAATCAAACTAGCAACTTTAAAAAAAAACAACAACTCACTTTTCTTCTGTGGCATATAACAGCTATTTTGTTCATTCTTGTTGCAGATTTGTTCACCATGCCCGCTCTGTCTTCAAACTCCACTTATGTGCTGTCCACTCCTGATTCCACCTGGTCCTTTACTAGCACCAACTTCAGCACTACACCTTACACCAACACGACAATCAACCCAATCCTCACAGAGGTGGAAAATGCTTTCAAAAATTTCCTGGACAATATTCCCTGTAAGTAACGTCTTATAAACTGCTAAAGTAAACTAAAGTCATACTTGAGTCAATCCTGGCTTTTTGTCCCTGCAGTGCCCCGATGGCTCACGTTGCTGCTGTTTGTCCTTGGTGGAGTGATCTTACTCATCATCTTCCTCTGCATCTGCATTAAGTGCTGCCGTAAAAATAAGAAAAAAAATAAGAAAAATGAGAAGATCAATCTGAAAGGAGTGAACAGCGGCAGCACCACTGCACTTGTAAGCCCAGTTTTATAGCTGTCAAGTTATACATTGTCCAATATACTGAAAATGCCGTAACATATTTATTTAATTATTTTAGCAAATTATGGAAAAGTAATGGATTAAATAGATGTAATAAATCATTAACGGCATATTATGAAAAATAAGTAATCATAGATATCACTAAACACGGTAATGTCTTTATCTGTTCTATTGAAAGCCATGCAACGCAGCAGACATGGCACTACATTCATTTCAAATTTTTTATGAGTAGGAACTGCCTTTCCTTTTTATTAAAAAATCAAAAACAACTTCAGAATGAATAGTAATTGGTGAGGGGACAAGGGCTGCTGCCATCTACTGGTATGAAATAAAATCTAATTAGGTTAGAAACTGGTCTTTATTGTGAATGTGTTATTTATCGGTTGCCAGCTTAGCCATCCAACACATTTGGAACAGTAAAAAAAAAAAAAAAATGTGAATAGTTGTTGTTGTTTTGTATTAAAAAGCAAAAGTATACTCTTGCTCTAACGCAGCAGCGCTCATGGAAATTCATCAACCCGTTGCATTTGTTCCGGTCTCTCCGGTCACGCCGGAGAAAGAAGAAGGTATCCACTGACATCTATGCCAACTCAACAGAACATAAATCAGACCAAGTTAGATATTTGTGAAGTAAAGCATGTATTATACAGATCTTGCTTCCACCAGGTCCAGCCTGATGTGGCCGATCTGGACTATGGTTCATCTAAGAAGTACCGCGGGAAGCTGCTGTATTCTCTGGAGTACAACACTACTCAGTCAGAGGTAATCATATAAGCAGTAACTTTATTGACTCTAAAACCAGTCTGTCCACTAACTCCACTCTTTACTATTGCACCCTGTGTGTTCTGCAGCTGACAGTGGGCATCAAACAGGCCGACAGCCTCAAGGCCATGGACCTGGGGGGCAGCTCGGACCCTTATGTCAGAGTGTATACCTGTCCCGACAAGAACAAGATCTGTGAGACCAAAATGCTCAAGAACACACTCAAACCTGTCTTCAATGAGCAGTTCACTTTTCAGGTAAAGTTCAACATCAAGCTTCAACATCTGAATTAACAAGACTCATACCACAGCCTCAAACTGACTGTAAGGACTGAACCAGTTGGCAAAAATACGGAACTGCAATTTTTCTGGCAAACTTGCAATTAGATTTGCGATTTGTGTTTTATTTGAAGTTCTGTTGAAGGATCACAAGTTTGTACACATGCAAACTACAGGAGTAGTAGATACTTTGGTGTTTGTGGAGGAAATTATGACAATTCAAAAATTACAAGAGTGGTGACTTGCTAATTACGTCCATTCAAATTGCAATTTCAAGCAGATTGTGATTAATCTTGCAGGAGGATAGCTTAATAATTTACTTTGATCATTCTTGAAGTTTAGTATAAAGCCAGTTTAATAAAATTTAAAAAATGCACTATTATTTGTTTTAGTTGTTTAGTTGTTAAGCACTGTCCTAAATGAATACACCAAAAAGCATCTGAAAATAAAACATTTGTCTACTTCAGTAACATTTAGAAGTATTTTTATCCAGCTGAGCACAGATTTTGACTGCTTTTAATCATAAGCACCTCCCTTAGTGTGCACTTACTGATAATACTTTGATGCTTGTATTGTGCCATTTCTACAGATAACTAAAACCTCCCTGATGAAGTCTACAGTGGTGATGCAGGTGTATGATTTTAACAGATTCTCCAAACACAACCTCATTGGAGAGGTCAGGCTGCAGCTGGAGAACTTTGATTGGAACCATGTCATTGAGGAGTGGCGGGACCTCAGCGAACCCTCCAAATTTGAGGTTTATAAGACACCCACAAAGTCCCACTAAGGAATCATTCAAAAGATATATGGCACAATCCAAATACATGAGAAAAGCACTTTCCAGTATTTTTCCTAAACCTCTAAACCAAAAAAATAAATAAATAAATAAAAATACATATTACACTTTCTCCATATACTTGGTTTTGAACTATAACATCACTGTAAGGGGGATTTCACTAACTGGTTTTATTGTTGAAATATGGTTGTATGTGTTTTTAACCTTTTGTGTCTGCAGTAAAATGAAGGACAATACCAGATTACTCAAAGACCCATGAATCAATCTAAATACACTGCATAATGTATTAAAATCTATGCTTTAAACTGGATAACAAATTCAAAACCAGGATTAGACAATTCCAAAATAGTAGGTCTAACCAAGGGCAAATCAGACCTAAATTAGGGATTTAAAGATATTGGCAGGAAAATTGCTCCCTGGTTTCAAACAAAAGTTTGACAACCACAATATTGTATTCTGTTATTAAGAGTATAATGATTTCATTTGCAAACATATTTGTTTCAGGAGGAGGATCTAGGAGAAATTTGCTTCTCTCTGCGATACGTCCCGACAGCAAACAAACTGACTGTGGTGATCCTCGAAGCTAAAAACCTCAAACCTATGGACATTGGAGGGAGCTCAGGTCATTCACAACACAAAAATTATATCATATCTCAATATCTCATTTTTTTTAGTGGAGTTTTCGTCAATTATTAACAAAGTAAAAGTGGATAGATGGAATGTTTGCATCCTGCATGCAAGGCTGACAGTGTTCCCACATAGAATTATAGGTTGACATCTAGTAGATCATACAGATATCACATGAGTTATAATTGATGCAGGGGAAAATTGTCCTTAACCATGTACATGGAGCCAAAGTCACATTTTGTGTTTGCAGATCCGTACGTGAAAGTGCAGCTAACGTTGGACAAGAGGAAGTGGAAGAAGAGAAAGACGACTGTCAAGAAAAAGACTCTGGCTCCATATTACAACGAGTCCTTTACTTTCACTGTGACCTTCGAACAGATCCAAGTAAAGTTTGATCTAATAAAGAGTGTCATTTTAGAAACAAAAATAACAATTGCATATATATTTGAAAGGTAAGCTATGATTTTAGACACGCAGAAGCAAAAGAGAATAAAATATAAGATTTAAATTAATAAGTTTCTTTAAAAATATGTAATATTTAATTGTAAATTTTCATGATAACAATTAAATTGCATAGTACAATGAGTAATAATGGCTGAAATTAAAATGCAGTTTGAATAATTGCAATTTCCAAATTCCATAAGTTGCAATTATTTTTTTTATTTTTTTATTAAAAGGCAATAGTAAACAATATTGCAAATTTAATAGCAATTTCAGCACAGTTTTTTCAAGAATTTTTCAGGTCGACATCTCACAGTATACAACTTAATTCCTATTGCGTATCTCCCTACTTTCTTTTCAGAGGGTAAACCTGGTGGTTGCGGTGTGGGACTACGATACTGTGAGCCGTAACGATGCCATAGGGAAGATCTACTTGGGCTGCGATGCGTCAGGAAACCAGCTGAGGCACTGGGCCGACATGCTGTCCAATCCAAGGCGCCCGGTCGCTCAGTGGCACACCCTGCAGTCGGCCCAACAGGTCAACTCCACCCTCAACCTGAAGAGGAAGTTGCCCGTATCAGGAAAACTGCCCTTCAATGGAGAGCGCTGATCATAGGAGCTTCACAGGGACTAAATTAATTTAAAGTTGCACTATGTAACTTTTCTGTCTTAATCGAGATGTTATTACTTTGCCATGAATGTTGGGCAATATGGTGTTAAATCAACTATTACGGAGCCCAGAAGGTGACGGTATCTGGCCAGGTTACAGGCAGATCTGTGGAAACATGCTCACAGTAAGAATGCATGTCTAGCAAGGTGTTTCTGAGCAATAAAAAAACATCTAATTGAATCAGTGCAATTTAGATGTATTCCAAGCAAACAAAAGAACATCTTAATGAAGACAAGTGGTAGACCCTACACAAGAAAAGTTACACAGTGCAGTTTAGTAGTTTAATTGTTTAATAGTATTCTGACTAATGTATCAAAATCAAATAAGCAAATTATTTCTGTATAAGCACTTTAGAACTGTTATTTTCACACTTGTAAATTAAATTCCACATTTTCTGATTTACAAACTTTTTGCACCACCTACAGAAATACTTTTTTATGAGTATTATCTTAGGCAAATAATGTAAGGCTTAAATAGGAACTAAACCATGTCAGGATCAAATGAGCTTTAACTAAAACAAAGTAGAAGCCAAAGTACCAACAATGATGTCCATTGCATTTGAAGAAAAAATGTAGTTGTTATTGAATGCATCCTTCTTCTCCTGGGTAACAGGCCCTTCTTCTCATCTTTCTAACTTCCTTTGGCGTTTATTTCCAAAAGGAGACCACCACATGACAGTAAAACTTTCTGGGTGCCTTCTATTTCAACTGAGTAAAGAAAATTAAATTAAGTCTAATTAAGCTGAGCTCAGCAGGAGTCTCAGCTGCTGGTTCAGGACCTCAGAGACCAAAGATTCATCAGGAAGTCCCAGGGCCCACAACCACAAACCAGGAAGTAAACAGTGCTACAGCCTTGTTAGTCAATGCCTAGACATAAGAGTAAAGTCATAAGTGCACAAAAATTGCAAACTTGAGTAAAAGAAAGTACAGCAAAAAAAAAACAAAAGTACTATATAAATGGTTTTGAAAAAAGTAAAATAAAAAGTACCCATCACCACTATATAATTCAGTGCTAACTACAGATTCTGTTGAGATTGAAGGCTATTATTATTTGAATATTTATGCATTCTCTATTGAATATTCAAATAGTAATTGTTTCAACAGTACAAATACTATTATCAATGTATAATAATGCAGCTAGGGGTGTCAAATTATCGCGTTAATTGCAATTAATTAATTTCAGTTATATTTAGCGTGTTATCTTTTTTAATCGCATTAATCTCATTTTTAATTTTCTTTACTGTTTCTGTATGTGGGTTGCCTTATTATAAAATCTGTTTTTATGTGTTGTTGGGACAACAACACATCGCTTCCGCAAAGAATGGTCATTTTCATTCCCGTTCCTGCCCGAATTTGTGATAAACCTGCACACGCAAGATCTCTGAAAACAGCGCAACACACACACAGAACAGACTCACCATCAGCATCAACACCCCTCTGTCACAGAAAGAACACTCATATTCCACTGAGTCGTGTCCTTTAGTCTGGCAAAAGCTGAACCACATCAGCACAAGAGCGTTTTTTTTTTTTTTTTTTCTCTGCTTAGTTTATGCAAATAAGCCATGCGGTTTAAGTTTTGTTTCTGTAAAACTTGCGCAAAGCTGCATTAAACACAGTATAATCTCAAATGGGCTGATGTGGCTCTAGAGTCGTTATGTTCATATGTTGTAAAGTTATATTTATGCAGATTAGTAATAGTAATAATAATGATGATACTGTGGAATGTATCGGTTAAAGTTTGTTAAACAATAAATGACTTTATAATGTCACCTTTTTTGTTATATATCTACCACAATAATGCAATAATGAATTTAAATGAAAATACCTCAAGTTGAGGGCGTTTCTCAGCAATTTTTAGGTGAGATTAAAAAAGAGATGAATTAGATTAATTAATTACAGATCATAATTATACTGTTCATTGGTTCTCCCTTATTTCACATACTGTGTTGAAGTGTGGGGGAACACTTACCAATGTACACTTCATCCATTGATTATATTACAGAAACGAGCTTTGAGAATCATCCATAAAGTTGTTTTTTTAGAACACACCCATAATCTTTTTATTCAATCCAAGATCCTCAAAATTCCTGAACTTGTACAATATTATACACTGGTCATTTTATTCAGAGCATGCAATAATTTACTACCACGTAATATTCAAAGCTTATTCAAAATGAGAGAGAGAACTTATCATTTTAGAGGGTATGGAAATTTCAAATTGCCTAATGTACGAACGACCCGTAAAAGTTTCTGTGTGTCTGTATGTGGTGTAAAACTCTGGATCAGTCTGGATACACATCTCAAGCAATGCCAAAATATCCATAAATTCAAGTTGTTATATAAACATATGGTCTGGTCACAGTATATGGAGAGTGGGTCATAATATTAGAACAATACTGCCTCTGTAGCGCTGGTTTATATCTGTTGTTTTCTTACCTTTGCTGGTGCTGTCCATTACATTACTTGTATTTGTTGTTTCTTACCATTGTTTGGATCCTTAACTTTACCATTGTTGGTACATTTATGTTATACAACCAAACTATAACAGTGATTCTTTGTCTGCACTTGTAAATAGTTCATATAGTTTAATTCAAAATGTCTGAAAAATGCAAAAGAAGCTCATTGTGTTAGATTATGAAGAGTAGGGGTGGGATTAAATAAGTTTTCTTCTTCCCACTCCTTTTTGGGCAAAAGAGTAATAATAAAAATAATCTTTCTTTTTTTTTTTTCTTGACAGCACTAAATGCAACACACAAAGAATGTAATATGTCATCTGTTTAGACAACTGGGAAGTCTTATAAGTGGGGAGCAATTAATTATACAATATACTTGAGTTCTTAGTATGTATTTTTAACTGTATGAATTGTAAGATGTCTTTGGGTGTAATGTAGTAGATAAAGATTGTCCAATATAACAACAACAACAACAACAATAGTCCATTTAGATGGCTTTTTACTAGAGGTATTTATTTATTTATTTTTTCCAAAAAAAAAAACAAAAAAAAAACAAAAAAACAATCAAATCATATAAAAAATGTAAAGTCCTCCCTTCATTGCCTGGTGGTCTGATCCTAGACACTGCTGTCATTTTCACAGACAAACTCAAGAAGACAGCAGGTGAGAGGGGCTCCAAGTGAACGCAATGCTGACGAGTCTTGCAGCTCAAGGAGTCTATTGATATGCAAATATATTAGCATCTCTGCAGGTCCTTGCTAATACCACACTTATACCCACAAAAGGTCATTTTATACCAATGTTTTAACATTCAACCATATATGAAAAACAACACATAAACTTCAGCTAGTATATCATAACATTTCATTTTAGCTTTTACAGAGTTGGTACAAGAAAAGACAAAAGGTAAGCCTTCAAGTGTAGATTTTCTTGTCTTGATATAACTGGATTTACAGATATTTTAGGTTTATGTTTTTCTATCTCTAACTTATGTGGGACTCACACAAGCATAGTATAATACTTTTAGACACACTGCAAGGTACTCATTTTGTACCTCAGACGCCCTTTCTAATGCAGTTTTTTTTTGTATAAATTTAAACTTATAAAAAGGGTCAGACAGGATTTCTAGGTCCTCTTTTATGGTGTGAATATCCCTGCCTTGTATTGACAAAGGCAATAATAGCTGGATCCACTCACTTGATTATGGAGAGCTGTGACATCAGCAGGTCGGTGGGTTACCAGGGAACCAGGAGAGATACCCGGCCATCCTCCAATTACCAAAGCAGAGCTCAAGATCCTCATCAGATCAGCCTACAGATGACTGTTGATATTGTTCTCACGCACAGCTCCTGATATCTGATATACACTGAAGACAGCTGGACGACTAGCACCTGCAAACAAGTAAGAGAGTTTAAGAAAATTATTGCAAAGATACAGCAATTGTGTGAGTGCTAATGATGTGTGCAAAATATGCAAAACATATGTTATATATTTATATGAATGATGATCAATAATGGGAATACCTGCACGTAACACTGATTTTGAACCTTACTGTACTAGGCTACTTCTTGTAGTGTTTGACTTTTAGAAACAGAAGTGAGCTCTGGATAGCTGATTGATGCTTTTTAATGAAACATGCTTTTTATGCTTGGGATATTATAAAACTCACAGCCTCCATTTGTGCTGACGGTTTTCACCTGTCAACAAGAAGATGCAGACAAACGGAGCAGGGAGTAAAAATATGGCTGCAACAATCGAGGCACATGTGAGGCGTGGTCCTGCTCCCAAACTAAACTTATCTTCATTCGGTATGGCAAAAAGTAAAATTATTATGATGGCAAAATGCTGTGGCCTGTATTTCTGTTGAATATTACATAGCTGAAATTACGTTTTTATTTTTAATTTGATGCTATCCATTGAAATATTTACTGTATTTTTGTTGCTTCCATATGGCAAAATGTGCATTTTTCCATTAAGAACATTACTTGCTACTATGTGGTTAAAATGTTGGTTAACACATGCTGGTCAATAGCTATAGATCTATGATCAGAGCTCTTAACAATGGAACTATAATATGATCATATTATATCCGTGCTCTTAACTAAAGGAAAACTTCTACACTTTGGGAAATTGTTTTTAATACTGCTTCCCCAATTTAGGACTTGAAGGCAAAACAATATTCCAAATTAAAAGGTCTTATATTATTTTATTATATTTAGTGTTAGTATTAGTAAGTGGCGATGAGCCCAAAATAATATAGTTAAGATACAAAAATTATCATAAATCGGCACGCTGAACTGGTTTATTTCCTGCGAGGCAGTGCGCAGGGACAAAGAGTGGAGGCGCAAAGCCGCAGTTGCGCACAGGTGGTTGTGCTCACGGTGGAGATACTCGGCTGGCGAAGCTGGTTGGGAGCCTGCCAGCATCGAGCACCGCATAAATTATCACATTTTAAGTGATTGTCGCTGGCACTGGGTCTTGATGTCTAGCAGCTGACTTACTTTCGGCGTGAATGAGCAACAAATCCAGCTCTCCTTGGACAATGTTGCCAATATGCAGTGGGTAGCTCGCTAATACTACTATGGCTATCCTTTAGCATTTTACCAAAAGGAGACGATGTAATTGCGGCCATTGTACGTAAACGCCACAGGTTTATTTCAGAAGTACTTTGCTACCAGTCTGCATCACTATGACAGTATGACTTACAAACCCTGAGCTGACAAAAGAACTAGCTTTGTTAGCCTGTAGCGGCTAACATAACTGCAGACGCAAGGGTCCATGCACGGAGCCTGCGAGATGTGCATCCCATGGAGGTGAAGTGTTTCCCGGATTGGCAAAGATGGGGGGTCGCCTAAGACAACCTTTTCTGCCCCTGTCAGCAGGAGGCGAACCATGGGGACTGCGGAAGAGTGGAACAAGCACAGTGCTCAAAAACTCCTGGATAAAAAGGTCCAAAAGCAGAATGGGCGGCTTGGTGAGCTTGTAATACTTTCACATAATAACATTTAATGCATGCTTTTCCCACATCTAATGCTAACTGCATGCATATTTTTGTAGGTATAGTGAAAAGCCTATTTAAAACCCAAAACACACTTCAAATACAGTCCCTCATCACCCGCTCTGAATGTGCAGGTATGTAACTCATGCCGGGAAATTATTATGTTTAGACCTCAGATGTCATTCATAATTAATATTTTAAATATATTTCGCCCCTATCAGGCTCCTGTCCTAATTTGATGATGAACAGGCAAGACCAAATCGATGTGCGCCCTGTGCCGGTGGCCCTCACCCCACAGCTGCCCCCCAGGCTGCACCGGCCCCTCTGTGTGTCCGTTTCCTCTGACAGCAGTGGGAGATTTAAGGCACTGGAGACCCAAGAATGGAAGAACAACCTCAAAGCCCAGGTAAACTCAGTTATAGAACTGGATGTATCAAAATGAAGATTAACTAAGTTAGCCTGTGTCTATCAGAGACTTAGTAGTCAGGGAGATTATGGGAACAGGACAGCATCCATGTCTGTTTCAGGTAAGGTAAAGAAGAACTGTGTACTTTGTAGTAGGAAGAACAAATGGGGAAAAGATTAAAAATACAATTGCTTGTAGCAAATGAGTAAGAGTATGAGTAATTGTTGTGATAGGTTAAGTGTTTTTATTGTTGTTTGTATCTGTTGTTATTATTGTCAGTTAATGGAATGCTGTTGAATGAATCTGATGCCCACTTCTTGTGTGTGTTTCAGATGGAACAGGCCCACAGTGCAGGGGCAGCCAGCAGCACTGGCTCTCTGGAGCGTGCCTCTCTGTTCTGTGCCTCAGCCTCCACCACCTCTGGCTCGGGCCTGTCTAGTCCAGTCGAGTTCCTCAACAAAAACAAGTCCTCCAGCCGCTTCTCCCTCTTCTCTCCGCCCTGGAACAGCAGCTCTGAGTCTGAATCCAACCCTCCATCTCGCTCCGGTTCCAAAAAACTGCGTAACTACAGTCGTAGAGCCGCTACAGGTCCCGCTGGAGCCAGGGGACCTGATGTCCTTGATCCTAAACCCAGTGAACACTTCCAGTACTCCGAACCAGTCATCTCCAAAGTAACGGACTATATCTTTGTCGGGAATCTAAACGCTGCTTATAATGGCCGTACTTTGTGCCGCAACAACATTGACAGTATAATAGACATGAGTAATGTGCCAGGTGAATCTGGCCCAAATCTCAATCTAATCCCTTGCACATGCTCTCGGGGGGCGCGCCACAGCTGGTCCCGGCTTAAGGTGGACATCAGTGATGTACCAGACGCTCTGGGGGATGGTCCCGCCTTAAAACAGCGCTGCTTTGAGGACATCAATGAATGCATCAACGCCTCCACAGAAAAGAAGAAGAGAGTCCTTGTTCACTGTCGGGATGGGTTTTCTCTTGCCCCCACCTGCATCATTCAGTATCTAATGGTAAAGCAAAACATGAGGCTTATTGCTGCCTATGAACTGCTAAGAGCCAAGTATCCAGTGAACATCAGGGAGTGCCATCAGAATGTGTTGGTCAGCTTGGAAAAAGCATTGCGACCAGGAGGCAATGTGGATCCCGAATGCTTCAAACAGGCCATCTCCCGCAAAGTGGCATGGACATGACTGTAAAATAACATGAACACTAACACACTGTCCAGCTGCATATATTTGTCCCACATCAGTTAAGTGGTCGTAAAACTTGACGTTTTTTCCTTGTACCTGTAAATGTGAATGGGAAAACAAGCATACAGCCCTGTGGTGTACAGATGTGAAAGTGCTGGCTGTAGAATTCATATAGTCCTGCTTCAGATCTGTGCCATGCTGATAATAATGATATACATTAGTGCAGTTTGTAAGCGATAATTGATGTCATTCAGATATGACTGGAGAATCTATTTACTTAATTAGTTTTGTTTAATAGTCCCTAAGAATAGAAGATTTGGTGTTGATGCAGCCAAGATTTTTCAGCAATGAAATGAATGTGGAAAGCTCAAACTATGAAAGCCACAACTACAAAATTGTTTTCTCAGATTTATCACTATGTTTTAGTCTGGCAATGTTGTGGATACATGGATCTACTTTCATTTTAAACCTACTTTATGATGCATCAAACGCACCAGTCATGTATGCATGCTTCTAGGAAAATTTAATATACTTAGTTGAAACATTGTTTTAGGTTGAATGCATAATCTACTTGAAAATGTATATTGTGTGGTTACTGCCAGGTGAAATATGTGCAAGTACATTCTTATTTTGTATTTTTAAACAATTTGATCTCTTGGCTGAAATTTAAAATGGTTGCCATATCTGCTCTGCTGTCAAGTGGAGCATAGTTAACTATCAGTACCGAATGGATATGGATGATCTGCTTATATTTTGATGAACTATTGCACATGGACATATTTTTAATCTATTTTTTGTCTTATGTTTTTTTTCTTACTCAAAAGACGGTGTAACGACCAGATTGTGTCCTCCATGAGGAAGTTTGTAGCCCACTTTTTAAAAGTTAAATTTCTTTAATTTGGTGGGACTCGTGATTTTGGTGTATGTATGCAGTGAAATTGGTTGTGCATCTCTGGATTGTCAGTATTGTCAGGTGTCTATGCCACTGAATGGCAATTCAGGGTCAACGCTGCAAGAGATGACTTTGCACTATATGTACAATTATCCACAATGCAAGGTATTTCCTCCACTTTCCCTGTATCCTGGTTGGCCATTCCAACATGATGAATCACCACTGCAATTCATCTTTCTATAGTAGAGTACATGACCAATAGTGGCTGGCCAGAATCTCATTAAAGTAACATGTTATTTTTTCAGCTGAACTATTGATGAATTTATAAGACTCGAAGTAAATTAAAATGGTTAAGAATAAAGAATAAAAGATATGTGACAGAAGCAACAATATTATGCAGCAATTCACAAGGTTAAGAATTAATAAATGGCTAAACTATATTAAGTCTAGATTTGATAACACATAAAATGGTTTACATGAAACATCTGCACATTAACAGTAATTACAGAATTTTGGTAATGTTTACTTGATATAATACTAAAACAGTGAAATGGCATCCTGACAACGTGTATTTTCTTATGGGCAGCCTTAATAAAAATCTATATTTTGTAAGACATTGTACTGATCTGAAATATTCCTTAGGAGCACAGTAAGACTTGATGTAGGAGTTGATGCTAAAAGTATGGTGCCTTGTTTGGAGTCGTTTTGTGACCGTACGGTGACAATTGCACACTTTGTATATGGAAACTCAGATTTTTAATGGTATAATGTAAAATGTTCATTATTTTCTGGATGTTTATTTTTTTGGAGCAAAAAACTCAAACCATGAAAATTGTGCAAAGTGGTCCTAGCTGTAATATAATTCTAGCAGTGCGTGTATAGTTACGGTTAGTGACGATATTCAAGATGTGTTCAATACTTGTACAAGGCACTGCAGTAGTAATTGTAGTATTATATGTTTAATTTTACATTGTAAATGTTTTTGTAAAGAATACCTCCGCCTATCACCATCGGACTCAATGGTTTTCTAAGTTGTTCTCAGGTGATTTCTCAGTGGTCCCGAATGTTCTCAGTGAATATGATGTTGAGGTCTGTGAAGCAATGTATTTATCATATTTCTTAAATCTGATATATTTGTACTGTTCACCAATAAAAACAATCTAATGAATGGGCTTTATTTTCCATGGGGGGGTTCATCTGTTATCTTGATTACGCAGGTCACAATACCAGAACAACACAATTTTAATCTCTACTCCAAAAAGTAAACCTAGTAGTACAGTAGACATATGTAAAGTGCTTTTTGATTTGGTTGTTAATGCCAGTTATTTTTTCATTCAGGTTTGATTTTGTTAAGATGGCAAAGGAAATATAAATTCTGTCACCTGGAAAAAAGTTTTTTGATCAGCTCATCCAAGCTGCTTCTTCAGGTGCTAAAATGGTCAAAGAAGATGGGATCAATATTGTTGATTATGGTGTTAGTAATTGAGAATAGTTATACAAATAAAATTGTGTTGTCTCTTCCAATAACTAAAAACAAGATTTTATTTTGTGACATCCCAGACACCTTAACTGTGCAAAAAACCCAAATGAAGAGGTTAACCAAGTCTTTGTAATTACATTTGGCACTGTGCTAAGGGCATGATGCTTCGGAAGTAAAATGTACCTAATCTAAGTCTAAAATAAGTTTAAAATTCAACATAAATTACCATGGTATGTTTGATAGTCCTTTGCTTAGTATCGTGTTCCCCTTGGCCATCTCCTGTTAGCAGCTTCTTAATAGCCTGCCTATAGCTTCTTAAATGACTGTTTAGAAAACCCACTCATCCCTTCCACCTGCTTCCCCTTTGACTTTCATCACAACACTTATGCTGTGTCTTACTCACTGGAAAACCTCTTTGATACATTTGGTACAGTTTACATGCTACAACAATTATTTAAATAGAGAGAGATAATAAGGGACATTTTTGGATCAGTTCAAATGTCTATTAAAATTTGTTTTAAATGTTCTAATTGTGCCTCCATTTTGGGGTATGATTTGCACAATTAATAATACTCTTGGGGGGGGTAAGAGTTTTATAATAGACACGTAGGGAGGAGATTGGGGAGTGGATGTGCGGGGTTCAGATCTAAGATTTCAGCTGCTGCACTGCCGATTGGTCTGGAGAAATTGAACTTCCATAAAGAGAATGATGGGGTTCCCTTTGCCTTTGGGGAATGCCATATATACCAAGTAATCTGGCCAAAAAATAGGGCCTTCCCAAATCCAGTCGCGGTTTCCAACAGTTAAGGTAGGACATTTCATACAATATATAGAAACATTAAATATAGAAATAGAAATTGGCAAGTAATTTCATAAGTAGTATTTTAAAATGTAACACCTAATCCATATACAATATATAACTATTTATCCAAGTAATTGTTGTGTTCTTATTCTTTCTGGCAGTGATTTGGTTTAATCTATGATTTCTGTAGTTAATAGAGAGCTGTTTGAATGAAGCTTGTTGGAATGGGGCGCACTATTGTGCTAAATTGTAAGATGATAGTCCCAGGGTTTACCACAGTGTCATCGCAGTTAGTTTGGAGTGATTTACTGTCACTGACTTGACAGATCATTGAAATTCATTTAAGGTTTTCAAAAGTGCTCTACATTTCTTAACATTGCAGGCTGAATAGTAACAGCAAGGTTAAAATTTAATCCATACTTTATGTAGTTGAAGAGGTACCATCATTTGTTTTTATGATTTAAAGCCAGAAGAAGAGTCCTTAACATTTGCTTGGTTCCCTGAAGATTTTATTTCTTTGCTTGAAATTTTCCACAGTAAGACACAATAAATTACAAGTCAGATCTGTGCAGAGGTGGCCCCACTCACAGTAAAAAAACAAAAACAAACAAACAATCAAAGTATAGCATAATAAGAACAACTGGGATGAAATAAATGCTAGACAATGGCATGCTGTGGAACATTTCAAGTAAACAACATTTCCATGGACATGCAGGTGGTGTCCTCTTCATCAGAAAAGTTACCCAGTGTGCCTTTAAGTGACTATAAATTTAAAATGAAATGTGAAATTGAATTTAGTTGTTTGTCCTTAAAAATATTACTATGTGTTATGTCTCAATGGAACTCACCGTATGTGTTTTTCCAATAACAACTATATTTCTATATATGTTTACTGCGCATTTTGTGGCATTATCTGTAATATACCTCCTCAGTACACTAATTGATTCCTAAATATGGCTATGACTGCTGTTCTGATGTTTGTTATACAGATGTGTAAATACAGATTTTAGTCATTATTTTATACAATTATGACTTTCCTGTTTCTTTTAAAACATAAGGAAATACACTGTTGTTAAGTTTTTGTTTTGTTAGATTGTTTGAGACGCTCTAATTTTAGTCCTTACATCCGTGCCAGGTCCAAGATGTTTGGGCTAACAGAGGAGCTATCAAGTGTTTGAGATAATCTCCCAGAAGACAGACTGCTCATTACAATGATTCCCCAGTGAGACAACTGGACCCCCCTTATGTGGCCCAATATAGACAGGGCTTTTTCCTTAAGGCGGACTTGATGATGCCTGGGTTGGTTTTGGGTTACATCAAAGTGCACTTAATATTGGGAAAAGATGCGGCAGATGTATTCTTGTCCAGTTCATCCTTAGACTGTTGTGACCTTTTGCACCCAGTATTCTACAGAGATAGACACCTCACAGGAATATATTGAATTGCGCACTGTAAAAATAAAAGAATTTGCCTGATGAAGGCATAGTGCCGAAACGTCATTGATGTCCTAATAAAATTCACAATTGGCAAGTAAAACGGTGTGCAGGATTCTTCTCTGCACTGTAAAAATGAAATAGTGCTGTAATTACATAAGAAAGAACTTAACAGAGAAGGAAGTTTTTCCTAACGTTGTTTTTGTTATTTCTGGAATGTTGAAGTTGGTGGTTTAAATGTTGTTTTCCTTGAGCAAAACACCCTTTTTTGAATGTGTTGGTGTGTGTTTAGTGGTGTGGTTGGCTTGGTATATTAAGTGTGTCCCAGGGAAATACATGCTTAAAGGTTGTATAGAGGATTTTTTAAGGGAAGCGAAATACAGCGACCGTCCTTTTTCAAATGCTGTGCATGTGTGACACCTCCTTCCTCAGTAGAAACATCTCCTCCTCCCGCCTCTTTACTCTAGAAATCACATTTGTTTACATCCAGTGCATGTTCAGAATTACTGTTGAAGTGACCTGCCTAGAAATATTTTAGCGACCGACGCGTCACTTTTTAGAACCTTCGGACTTTCTTTTGCGGCGAACTGGTCGTGGATTCTCGTCCGCCATCGCAACAAACTTTGTGCGAATTGCGAGGAAGCTTCAGTTTGAAAAAGCCTCAAAGAACCGCTGCATAAACCACATAATCCCCGAGCGCCGGCGAGTCAGTTACACTAAAAATGTAGGGAGTTTGACTGACAACCTAACAGCCAATAGAAAAAGAGGGAGCCTCGTTTTCTATTGGCTGATGTTTATCTGGCCTCACTACGTCCACTACTGATAGATTTTCATTCTTTCTTTTTTTTTTCGGTCATCATAATTAAAAGGCTGCTGCATCTCTGTATCTGGTATTTTAAACTTTCAATGACAATTTCAAACAAAAACAAAAAATCCTCCATACAACCTTTAATAAGGCATATTTATTTGAAAATAAACATCAGAAAATGCTTTAGTGAGTTTATGTAATTGTTTTTCTACAGGGCGTCTAGTGAAACAAACCGCCAAGATGTCAGAGTGAGTAAACCAAACTTGTTTATCCCCTTACATTGCATTACTGTGTGTTTATTTATTTGATAAAGTACATGTGTGGATATTGTTAAATTGTTTATCCATGTGAGTAAATTTTATCTTTATAAATGTACTTTGGTGAAAAAGAAAAAAGATGTCCTCAAGTCGGAAGCATCACTTAAAGGTAGGTCTTTTTTTTAGGATGTTTAGACTGGTCTAGTACGTGGAAATAAACTACATGATGGTTTGAGTTACTTGCTTGGTTATTCCCCTGGCAGAGTTTGATGCTGTCCATTGCCAAAGGCCTGCTAGAGGAGGAGGAGAGAGAGCGGGAGGAGGAGAGGGAGCGATACATGGATGAAAACTGCCCCCCTCTGTCCCTGCCCCGGAGCATGCAAGAGTTACAAGTATGAACCCATGTAACACACACTGAACTATACAATTAGCAGATGGATGAAAAGTATTACAACTGTGGTTTATACACTTTTCCAACTATGATTATGGTCAAAAATACTCAAAATAGCATCCATAAAAATCATGGATAAAAATAAACATGGCAGCTGGCAAGAAAACTAGAAAATTACACAGAAGGAATGAGGATCACAGACTTCCACTGAATCAATGCTCAAAGCACTAAACACTGTTTATCAGAGAAGTATGATTTTTTTCTAATGATAGTTGACCAATTAGCTCATCTGTTTCCCACGTGTCACTGAAAAACATGAAAACAAACAAACCTGATTGCACAGCTTTGTTTGAGTTTGGCTTGAATCATTTGAGTCTGGCTTGAATGAATCCCATGAGACATGAGAAGGGTATAGAATATACAGGGAGTCTGTCTGTCGGGCTAACTTTATATAGCTGATTAGTGTGGAATAGCTCAGTAAACATGCAAAAAAATGTCAGGAATAAGAAAAGCAACTGGACTTAATACGTTTTTCGAAGCTATTTCACTACCGGCAAGGTAGCTTAATCAGTGCTTGTGTTTTTAACACAAGCTAATGAGCACTAATGTTTAAGTTTAACTTTTTTCCACTTCTTTGAAATCGAAAAAAAGAACATTAAAATAAATAAATAAAAGCATTATGGACCCATTCATAACAGTATGGCCACTACATGAACCTTAAAGAAAACAATCTATTGTTTTTGTATTTGCTTTAACTCATGTATTGTGCAATGGTGTTCTGTGCATTCTCTTTTCAATCAATGTCAATGCACAATAAGCTGCTGGATGAAAAATAAATCTACCCTAACACTGGATTTAAAATGGTTTAGTTTGGGCCAAGGACCGATTTGTGAACAAGATGTGTGCATATCGCTTAACACAAGCCAAACCACACATATTCTACCTGTCACACATTCCCCTGCACTCTGTATGGGATCTGAAATGGTGCACTTTTGTTTTTATGGCTGGATAAATATTTTGATGTCTTTTTGATACAGCTTTAAAGGAGAGTGCCCTGGCCATGCGCTGGCATTTATTACATGCTTAATATCACATACCTTTGGTTGTGGATGGCTCCGGTGGCTGGGTGGATCGTGGCTGGTATTTGAGGGCCACTGGGTTAGAGCCAGGATAGCGAGAGCACACCACACCCCCCCCCGACAACAAGCAGCTACAACCAGCAACCACTAAGAAATAAAAGAATGTATTAGTATTTCATGAGAAGGTGGTATTACAGTATATTATATACTCCTTCCATATAGATATAAAACATAATAGTCCCAGTCAAAGCCTGTTCCAAGTTCCTGAAGTTTCCAGTAATTTTTCCCATAATCTTTTCACAAAATTCGAAAGTTTTAGGCCCACCAGAGATTTTACTTGACTTTACTTACTTACTAATCTGAGAGGTGTGCTGAATTGTTTAGCTCCATATCCTACAGTGTGCCAAGAAAAACAGCTACGGGAGCTAATTTATAACCCACCATCAAAGAGCTGAACAGGTGAAAGTCATCCTAATTGTACTCAGTATTCTGCACCTCTCCTCCCGTCAAACCAGACGGAATATCAGATGTGTCGTGCAATGACAACAATATTTTGTTATTTGTAGTGACCACTAGTTCACAATACGTTTTCTAATTTCAGGAAGTGTGCAAAGAAATCCACCGCAAAATTGATGTGATTGATGAGGAGCGATATGACCTGGAAATGAAAGTTAACAAGTCCAACAAAGAGGTGCCAAACTGTTCCGATATCTGTATACATGTTTATATTGTTGATAATATTACATAACATACTATGTTAACTTGTATTTATTTAGATTGACGACCTGAAGATCAAAGTCCAGGATCTGATGGGCAAATTTAAGAAGCCAGTTTTGAGGAAAGTACGTATGTCCGCGGACGCCATGCTCAAAGCTCTGCTGGGCTCCAAACACACAGTCAACCTGGACCTGAGGGCCAACCTCAAACAGGTCAAGAAGGAGGTCAAGGATGAGGTGAGAATGATACAAACCTTCACTGGATTTTACCTTTACCTGTTTTTTCAGATTTTTTTTTTTTCCACATAATTTGATTTTTTTGAAATTTTGTGTGTTTATGGCAATATCAATACGTTTTTTTAATAGGTTTCAATGTATACTGTTTATTTGGACAAAAATTTTCAAATCCAATTAATAATGGCCACTGGCATATAATCTTACTTTAAATAAGAAAAAATATATATGTTGGAACAAATCTGAAATACACTGATAAATCAGATAATGTAGATCTAAAATTTAAACTAGACAAAACTACTCAATACTAGAATGACACAGAAATGTTACCTAATGTATATTCCTTTCTCTGGTGTTTAACATAAATAAAGCAGATAATATTTTTCACTAAGAAAAATATTGTTAATTGTTTATTCTGGCCTAATGGGAGTTTGCGTTTGCAACATTTCAGGATAAGGAGCTGCGTGATGTTGGTGACTGGCGTAAAAACATAGAAGACAAGTCTGGCATGGACGGAAGGAAGAAGATGTTTGAGGCCGAGGCTTAGATCACAGACTTTATCTCCCTAATATCTGCCTGCCCCTACATCACCCAATTCTCTTGCAAGCACGTTACAATGGTCTTAATAGTGCATACACTGAACACATACATGTAACAGTAAGAACCTCTAATGCTATGAAACTGAACTCAATAAAAATGTTTGGACTTTGATCAGGCTTTACTGTTTAACTTTTTCACCACCAAAATGTAAAAATTCCAGTTTCCAGATGTCAGATAATTGACAGATAAATTGTGATTATACAACCTATGCCACAACATTACAATGGAAGGTAGATTAGATGTATGTAATAACACCAAACGATAAGACAAAAAGAAAGATTACAAAATGAGGTGTAAAATTATTATTGAGAATTACATTGGAAAACTAAAAATTAAATTATTATAAGAATTAAACATCTTACTTTTGAATGACTTGTGCACAGAAAATATATAATCAGATGTCAGTTCTTAGTATCTTGTGATATAACATTCAACACCAGTGGATCTAGTCCAGATTCGAGTCCTCTTTCCTGGAGGTTGCCGTTTTAATAGGTGCAAAGCCCCTAATGGTGTCAAAGTGCACTGAGCGGACGGGCTGGACGAGAGACCATCCTAAACACGTTCTTAACGAAAATGCAGGTGGGCTAAAAGAAATATGATGCATAACTAATAATTTATTTCACAATATTCATTGTGTTGAAGTAAATAGTAACAAGTTTATTTCAGCAGGTTAAACTAAAAGATGGCAAGATCCTTGAAATCACACAAATAAAGGTGGAAGGTATGTAAAAGCTTGAAGTTACATTATTACTCAAGTTTATTTAGTATATTAAGTATTAATTATTGCTGTATAATCAGGTGTCTGGTTTTGGTTCCAAGCCACATAAATTCACTGTATCTGTTGCAGGATGTCAGTTCAATCAGTGTTCTGACTGGGCCAACAAATTGGAATAAGAACATTTACTGATTGACATGGACACAGACTGTTGAATAATGCTTCAACTTGTATGTAGTCATTTGAAAGATGGATAACACACATGGATTGGTTTAACATACCTTAGCTGTGATTTAAAGAAATGCAGGCTATTTTTAGTCTCTGCACTAGTATCGGTATTTTATCGGGTATCACCAGATACATAAAGCCAAAGTGTCGATGATGACATGATCTGAAAAAGCCAAATCTGTGCATCTCTAGTCACGTGCATTACATATCACAAATTGCTATTACTAGAGCTTCTACTTGTACCACTTACGGTCAACATAACGTATAATAAAGCAACTTGTTATGCTCTGCTATGTGTGTTGTCTGTTTCAGCCTCTTGTTTGCATTGCAGGCATGTACCAGGTACTAATCCAGGGTGGCTGCTTTTTACAACTCATGGTGAGTTCCCTAAGCTTTTAAACATATAACTGTTTATTCATATAACTGTTTTATCACTTCAAAACATTACCGGTGCAATGCAATGCAAAAAGTAATCTGAGAAACTGAATCTAGCTTAGTTTTTTAAAGGCCAATTTGTCACATTATTTTAGACAAAGATACAACAAACCAAATTACTCTGTCTCATTTTGTTCAGTATTCATCCCTAAAATACCAAAAAATAGTCCTGACCATAGCACTGGCTCTATGATATGCATTACTCTGCCCCTACTATAGTTTCAATTTGAAAACATTTGCAATGATTTGATGTGGTTGTGGTCCATTGTGTCCAATAGATGACAGTAGATAATACGAATAACAATCTTAAAGGCTGGGTTATTTATAATGAGGTGGGCCGAGGAAGGGGACAGATGACACTGTACTGTATTTCATGACCTTGCCAGCCCATTGGTTTGACCAGTAATCCACTTCCATAAAGAGAAAGTAGAGGATTTAGAGGCTATCACAGATTGCAATATATACCTTCTTAACACTCACTCTGCTCCGGGACTGGTCTGTGCCGCTGGACTTTAGCAAGCCGTAACTCTTCTCGGACAAGGTTGGTCTGGACCTGTTTGACAGAAAAGACAGAGGAATCAATTATAGAAAAAATTTGCTTTTGAATTTAATTTGATGGAATTGTAACATGTTTGAATTGAATTTGATTGAATTTTAGCATGTTAACTTTATATTTTTAACTTTTTGTTGAAGTTAACTTTTGCGTTCATCAATTTTAACACACTACTTAGTTTTAAATTTGACTTGAGACTAATTCTTGTAACTAAAACTACTGATGTTTGAATCCTTCAATAAATCTTCACCTTTATCTTAATAACCTGTGGACCGTTTTATTGAGACACCCTAACCGTTTGTGCTTGTCAGTAGCTTGAAGTGTGACAGCATTATCCATAGCACTTGGGTGTTAACACTCAGGAATTTCGAGATTTTATGATTTGCTTCAAGATTATCTCCACACAGATTGCATCAATTTGTTTACAACTTCGAAAAAATTCTATCATTCCTATTGAGATGATGATGGAAATGTCCAGTTGTCTCATTGTTCTTGGGCATTGCTTTGTGAAAGCTAAGGGACTAGCACTTCATCTGAGTTTAGAAAACCCAGGACACATTTTTAGGCGTCCCCGGTGGCATAGGGGTGATGTATGGTCTGGCGAAGAGGCTCAATGTAAGGCAACACCACTACAAGGCATGAACTTGAAAAGCGATCCATCAGTGTTTATCCTGCTGTCAGCGCCTCGCTGTTTCACAGGAAAATCTGCTCTAATCTGTGGCCAATGACTGCCCTCCTCAAACTGTCTGCATGGTAATCCAAGGACCTCCAGGCTATTAAAAAAAAAAATAATAATAAAATTAAACTGAGACATGCTACTTTTGATAAGGCATCTTCTTATTGGGAAACTGGAATGTACAAATTACTTAATCTGAAAAATCACCTTAAACTCATTATATGACATTTAAAATTTCAGTGTACTGATTATCACCATTAGTTTATGGTTAACTGAAACAATTTCAGTTTTTTCCCCTAAATTATTAGGTTTGTGTAACTATCTAATCTCTGATTTTATTAGCTGAGTGCAAATAAATTATTAGATTATTAACAAATAATTTGTATTAATGATTACAGTCATTAAGTATTTATTATTGATTTAATATGATATGAAAACATAATATAGAAGAGGCCAATTTGTTGTTTGATGATTAATGCACATTAGTTGGTTACAAAGTGATCTGTATTGTCTTGTTAAGCTTTAATTTTAGATTTTATTTTGAAATACAAATATCTTAGCAAAGTATTTATATTGCCACCTCTTTATAGCCCAATAAAGTAACACTATTTTAGCAGACCCATTTCAAACAGTTATTCTTTCTCCTGCAAGTGCGAGGCCAACAAAGTGAACTTATATCTGAGGTCAGGTTATTTCGGCCCTCTGCTGTAATGTCTTAGCTGTCCAAGGGATGTTCCACAGTGTTGGGTTACTACAGGCCCTCCTAACCCCTCAACTCCTCCTAACTCCCTCAAGAGACAATCGCTCATGAAATATACGCCACACATTCACTTAAGACAGAATTTCGGACCACATTTAACCCCGCAGATAGGACCCCTTCACCGCGGCAACATGGTGTCAAGTCCTGAGAGTTTGGAGATTCCGAAAATACATTGTCATCCCCAGAGATAGCGCCAGCCTTTTATTAGTTTACAGTTGACAGTTGCCATTTGTTCCGCAGGCAGCTCTGAGTTTTGGGATGCCTGCAGTGGTTGTCTGTTTATTCGTTGATGTCTTTTCTTTTTAAGACGAGCCCTGTCATTTTTCCCCGTATAATGAAGACGTGAGGAACAGCTGTGGGCACAGGAATAGATGGATAATCCGCAGGTCCACACCAGCTCCTAAACATTGCAAACAACTCCAGTAGTGTCTGCTGCCTTATCTCCACAAGCCCACAGAAGGCAACCAGACAGACATTTGTACTGTAAACCTGTCAAAACGGAGGGATATTCTTGGAGAACTATGCCACTGTCCAGACCTTGCACTTGAAATGTACTATCTTCAGTAAAAGAGAAACTCTGACAGTCAACGGTCATAAGATGTTCCAGAGTTTTAATTAAATTTTAATTTCAAAATAAGCATGGAAATCTGGCATTTATAAATGCAGTGTAGGCATGTTGGTTTTACTTACTGCTTTTCAGTAAAGAAGAAATGTAATTTAAGACCCATAATAACATTTGTCTGTGAAAATTATCAATGATTTAATGGCTTTGAAAAAAGACATTTTACCACTCAATTTAGAGGCCTTTTTAGGGTTTGCATCCTTACAATTTGACGTGTCTACAGATAACTACAATTTTATGAAATCTGATATTTTTACTATTGCTTTGTCAAACAAGATTATGTGCTATGGGAGAGTATTGGTTCAATCAGCAGGCATTGCCTTTGCCAAGACCTTTCCTACGTAGTGCACAATACATGTTTTATCCCACACTCATGTTTATGAACCCCAGAGACCTTTCTGACTCTGAGGATTATTCACAGCTACATAACCTGCTCCAGCTGTCTCTGACATCACCCTGCTTCAAGGCGCAAAAGGAAACACCATTTGTCATAATTAATACGTTAAACAGCAAAATGTTCATTAGAAAAACAAAAAAAAAAGTCATTATAGGTAGGATGGGCCTTAATACATAATGCAAGCACTACTTTTTAATTTTCCATAGGCACAGTTATATAAGATTATTGTATCCGTACTTTGGAGCTTTTGAAAGAGGCTAATGGCTGTCACATTGGACTTAAGTCTGCATTAGAGGATATTCAAACAAAGGCCTTTCTTTCTGACACATTTGTACAGATCTAAAGATAAGTTTTGATCTTGTGCTGGCTCAAAATGATCAGGGAAGTTTGTGTGAGTCACCCTCTGTGCATTGGGAATAACTGGGCCACATTTCCTGAGTATCTTCAGTAGTTGTTCCTGTCTGGATCACAATGCTGAACCCTCATACACACAGTTATGCTACTGGGGCCGCCAAAAATAGCATTATGGTTCTGCCACGCATTAACACTGAGCATGTTACATAGATCAGTTCCATGAATTTTCCTAGAATTAGGCTGACAATTTAAGCTAGAATTATC